GCAGCTGGTGGGGCTGTGTGGGCTGGTATTGCAGGGGCTGGGTTCAGGCCTGGGACTGTAGCATGGCTGGTGCCGTTGCCCGTTTGCTGCTGACACCGCACTACCATGCCCCGCGCTACCACTCACCGCCCCGTCCTTCCTCAGGGTTGTCAGGTGAGTGTATCTACAAAAGGCCACCTCCACAAAGGACTAACTGGCCCTGTGCGCTCACTTGTCCTCACAGTGATGGTCGCCCCTCCGCAGCCATTCTCCTGTGGGTATGGGGCACAGCCTGAAGTCCGACAGTCGCTAGAGCTCTAGCCATTCATGAAATCATGTACTTGAAGCATGCACTGCTCTGTGTAAACCAACATAGCTGAGACCCTGTGTAACCTGAAAGACTGTTACATCAGCCTCAGCAACTGACTCTTCTTGTACAGACTTCTAAAACTGGGAGAATCGAATACCTTACTGCTGTTTATGAGAACTGGATCGGGCTTTTTAATATCTGTACTCTTCCTTACTGCAGTCATCCCTTCTTTCTTCTGCTTCACCTTTTGACTAAGTGCAAGCTTGTTGACTGAAACTACCATTTGAAAGAATTAAAAAAAAAAAAAAAAGAATTCACAGACAGCAGTTTGTAATTCTCATCCCCGCACCACCGCCGCCATGGGAGAACAGGACTTTTGAGGTTAAAGTTGAAGCTGTCATCCGAGGAGTTGTCCTCGTCACTTAGTTACTCTTAACACCCAGCTAAGATAATATTTAGAAAGATTTATTCTGGGAAGTTTGGAACTATAAAGGTCTACTCAAGTCGTAGTTTAGTTTACATCCATACTCAGAAATAATCAGTTACAAAGTAGTATAAATAACAGTCTTAACCTTTGTTTTGATTTTAGTACTTAAGAACTAAATAAAAGTGATTCTGTCTTCTGTCATTCTGAATCATATAACTAGCAGAGGAAAGTAAATCCTTGGACGCCTGCTTTCCACTTCCAAGCTCCTGGGTCAGATGCGGTTACAGCGTCGAGACATGAGAGGAGTGTTTATAATTTGAAAATGTAAAATCAAGCTTCAATTTAAAATTAAACTTGGGAACATTAAAAGACATACAGTCTAATTTTAAGAAATAAAATTTCTTAACTTTATTTTCTTTTTTTTTTTTTTTTTTTTGGCAGAACCGGGGCTTGAACTCAGGCCCTTGCACTTGCCCGGGAAGCGCTTACTCCACTGCGCCAGCTCCCGGCCTTTAACATGACTTTCTAAGCCTGAAAATGATGCGTTGTTGCAGATCACTATAGGTCAGCCGCTCACGATGACTGTGTGCATATGTGTGTTTATTTTACATTAAAGCAAATTAAACATGCATGTATACATGTGATGTGCTTTATACAGATACTGTGCATATATGCAGGCAGTATCATTGTATAATATGTACATTTTTTAAAGATTTTTTCATTCAAATAAAGTAAAATTCTGTATGCCGCCGGCCCAGTGGCTGATGGATTAAAGTCTTTCAGAGAAAAATGGAGCAGAAGCAGAAACATCACATATGAAGACATTTTTCTTTGCTATAAATAGGCTGTTCTTACGGTGATGGAGTTAAAGTTTTGAGAGAAAGTGTAACCCGACAGTGGTTACTCTTGAAGTAAAAGAAAACGCATTTGTTGTTCAGAAACAAGCCCAGCAGTGACAGTCGGGGCCCCTTGTTGCTGGCCTGGGTGGCTGCTGTGAGTCTCTGCGGGGCTCTGCACATCTACTTGACAACTCGTGCACTTGGAAGCCAAATGTTATTTTCTCGCAGAGCCCGTGTTGTGCTTTCCGCCCTTTCACAGCCGAACGCAGTGTGTCTTGGTGCCTCGGAAGGCAGACAGATGTCCTGCCTGTGTGTGAAGGGCCATTTTACCAGCAGGGAGGAACCGTCTGCTGTGAGTGTGGTAACAGTAGTGGCTGGTTTTCTCTCCGAAACCCACACTGACTTTTAGAAATGGAAAGAATATGGATGTTCGTCATTCAAGAGTGAGCATTTCTATGTGAAAGTCTCCCCTTTGGAGACTTCCCTAAGTGCCCTTGTCTCCATCCCATGACAGAGACATCACTCGGCTGATTACGCAGATAGAGATACCTCAGCGTGTCCCTGCCTCTTGACCTCTTTAGATTAGTGCCCTAGAATGTTTGATATTGCCTTCCGATCTAATCTGGTGTGGGGATTGTGGCTTCTGGTCACAGGGCCTCTGAGAGGGCCCTCTCTGAAGTGTCAGAGGACAGCACGCACTCACTGCCTGCTCTTCTCAATGTCGTAAACTCTCAACATGTGGAGCGTGGAGCTGTTTTCAGGCTGCAAAATGATTGTCCAAATTTAACATTATGGGACTGTTGCTGCCTAGATCGTTGCTATATGGTGTTTGGTTTGCTGAAAAAGAGCAGCACTGCGAACAGCGTTCCACACGTGGCCACACAGCAAAGCTCAAGCAACCAGAATCAGATATTTTAGCATAGTACATATACACAAAGAACATATGTACCTCAGTTCATGAATGTGAACAATTTGGTTCGCGAACAGAAGTGTTAGGCCGAATTTTGCTGCTGTCCTCAAACTGCATGGCGTGATGAACACAGCCACAGCCATCTTCCTGCACAAGCATGACCGAGGCCATCTCCCGCAGGCGCATGGAACAAATTAAGTTTGTGAACCCCGGCACCACTATGTGAGTATAATACCAAATACGTTCTGGAGTCTGTCAGCGTACATGAAATATTCTGGAGTTTTTATTTTCCCTTAATAATTTGAATAATCAGATTTGACAGGGAAAAATAAGTCCATTTTTGAGACCGCTGTGCCAGACTTAGTACACATTGAACTGCCTCTCCGGCTCCCTCCCTTCGCACTATAATTATCACCGCGTTTCTCATACAAAAGAAAAGTCATCTTGAATTGGCTCAGGAGAGGAAGACAGAGTACGTGTGGAAAACATCCTGGCTTGGGACTC